TTTTTTTTTTTTTTTTGCTAATTTTAATAAGCTAAAATTAAATTATGAATCAAATGTTTCAATTAATAATAAAAAAAAAAAAAAAAACAAGAAATACTGTGACATATTATTACAACTACTACAAGGATTTTCTAATGAGGGACATTTACTAAAGTTAAAAATAAATTTTGACTTTGAAGATTTATGTAATATTCATAATTAAACTCAATTTAATATCTTATTCATAAAAATAAAATTTTTAAATTTAATTTGTAAATGACTTTGTATAAAAAAAAATAGTTTGACGACAATATTCGCAATTGAAAATTTTATGATAAGAAAAAAAAAATTAAAAGTAGATCAATTGATATTATAATTAAATTACTTTAAAATTTAACTTTAAAGCGATACCATAAAATAATTCATAAAAAAAAAAAAAAAAAATGAAAAATTTGATACATTCACACATTCAATTGCATAAAATCTATTTTTTTTTTTTTAATGTAATTGAAAATTAATTGATTGATTTTAAATAATTTATAATTTAAATTTGCTAAATGAAAGTGGAAATTTAATAAGGTGTGACAACAATTTTAATTTTTTTTTTTTTTTTTTTTGGGGAATAAAAGAAAGGCTCAACACTTAAATGACAATAATAAAGTCGATTGAAGTGTTTAAAATCATTTGTTTTGAAATAAAAAGAGTGCAATTAAATTAATCAAGAGCTTCTATTATATTAAAATGAAAATTTAAAAAAAAAATATTTTGATATGGCAAAGGTTATCACGAATAAAATTAATAAAAGGTTAATTTCCTTTTCTCCTGATAGGTTTATCTTAAAATCTAGATATATGGTGAACACCCGGATTTGTACCGATAATTTAAAAAAAAAAAAAAAAGAAAAATTTCCTTACCAAGTCTGAGTTCTCCAAAATTTCCGCAGCCGATTTTTTTACCAACACGAAAATTCGGTCCAACCATTAATACCCCCGAAGATGAAAATATACTATGTCGAGAGGAGTGCATGTTCCCTCTTGTTCCCGCGCTGGATTTAGAAGCGCGTTTATCCTCTCGAACCTCCTTGTCCCTTTCCCTATCTTTTTCCTCCCGTTTCTGCATATTTGATATTCACTTTAACCGGTGAAACTATAAGAAATTTCACTTTAAAATAACAAACCGTTCAGCATAAATATGGCCGCCTTCGTCAAACAATGGCCCCGGTTTTTAGCACTGGAAATTGTTTAACTCTATTAAAAAACTCATAATTTTTCAAAATATTTCTCATTAAAAATATAAATAAATGTCTTATAACTTAACAGATGATTAATCAAAACCTTGTATTTCACATTATCAAAATTAAAAACAATTCAAATATTAATGAATTAAATAACTGAAAATTTGAAAAACTCCATTGTTTCCCCGTCTTCTGTCGAACTAGCATGCTTTATGTTCCTACGCTCAATGTCTACGTTTTCCGTTTTAACCGGCTTTACCTTTTTTTAAATAAATAAATATAATTTCTACCTAATTTTTAATAAAACTATAACAATTATCACAAATCAATATAAGGATAGAGAAGAATATATATTAAAATACTTGTTTGTGAACTACATTTCAATTAAGTGCTATGAGGTTGCTCAATGCGCAGATGCCAAATTGACCAGCTGTTTATTTCCATTCCCAGTTGTTATGAATGGAAATTTAAATAACGTTAGAAAAATATTTTTAAATCTCTTTTACTATCTATGATACCGCTATATTTAATTTAAATAATTCTTAAGAATTTTATATAAAAAATTTTTAATTTTAAATTTATATTTCAAAAAGTTTTTTTTTTGATTAATTATTAAATTCTTGAAAAAATAAGTACTAACTCATAAGAAAATACAATTCAATTGAACTTCTTGCATGTAAAACCTATAAATGCTATTAACAATATGAATGAATGAATACTTTGTTAATAACAATTATTTATTAATAGCAAAATAAAATAAAAAAATAATGCCAAGGAAACTTAAAAAAAAAAATTTGATCCTTCGTAAAAGAGTACAGCTTTTGTAAGCGAAGTAGCTAATGATATCGAACTTGAATCAAAAATTATGCAAAAATACTTTTAATCGATAAATTGAAATGTAATTTTGATATACTACAATTATTTCAGAGGTTAGTTAAATAAATTGTTTATAACAAAGTCTCACAATACCAAAAATTGTTACATATATGTATTATTATTAACCTGATTTGTGATTCAATTTGTTATTGTCTTAAATTTAAATTTTCTCTAATGTGAAAAATAAATTTAATCGATAATAAAAGTTATGTTATCTTTTTAAGCGCACTAAATATCAAGTTCCCAATACAAAAATTAATATTCTAGCATTTCTATGATTTAAATAAAATTAAAAAAAATTATATTTATTAATTTACTTGTAGCAAAGTTCTGTAAGTATACAAAAAAAAAATTTCAATTAAATTATAAAACAAAATAAAACTTTTGTTAATTTTCAAATCAATTTCTTCAAAAAAGTAATTGTAAAATCATAAATACAATTGCAATTAGTTATCAAAATTAACTGTTATAATTAATAAATTGAGGTTTATATCATTAAAATTATTTAAAAAATGGCAAGTATTAGCAGAAATATTTAAAATCTAATTGATATTATTATAAATATTTTCTACAAAAAACAAGTATCACAGAAAAATTTGTAAGTATTTTTCTATATATATATATATATATATATATATAAATATTTATAAAGTAATTATAAAATTAATGTTCCTCAATGCACTCAATTAAGGTAGAATATAAAAAATATAACATACAATATATCAAATTATTGAACCTTCATTTATATCAAGTTTTAACGATAGAATTGTATAATATTCCGTTCGTTTACCATTTTGAAATTAAAAAAAATCATATTAACAACGATAATTTACAATATTGATAAATCAACAATATTATCATTAACGATTTTACACCACTAAACTTAATTCATTTTAAACCCGATAATAATTTTTAAAAAAATTTCATTTTTTTTTCCTACCACGAGATCATTAAAAAAAAATTTCAAATAATATCTCAATGTGAAAAGAATATAACAATTTTACCAACCGTTTATTTGATTAAGCGCGTTGTTATGAATGGATATTTTATTACTCTATGACATCACTAATACGAATTTTAAAATTAATTTTATTTAAAACTGTTGCACCCCGTTTTAATAATAATAATAATAATAATAATGACCCATTTTTACCTTTTAAATAGGTTTTACTCCTTTAATAAAATATAATGTAAATATTTTAATTGTTATAAATGTAAAAACCTGATTTAATTAAAACAATTTAAAATAATTGGTGTTTAATTTCCCAACAGAAAAAGAAAAAAACCGCAGATTTACATCCATCTATTAATCCTTTTTTTTTTTTTTTAACCAACTTTTATTAACGCAGATGGGAAACTAATTTATTTTTTATTCTTATTTTAAATTGAAGTATTGATAATATTGATTGATTTTTTTTTTACTTATTATCATTATAGAATGTATTTTTTTATGTTAAGTTAAAAACTATTATTTTTCCCATATGTATTTTTATTTAAAAAAAAAAAACTAATTAATTATTAAAAAATGTCTCACCCTTGATTTCTATTATTTTATTGATTGAGCTTTTCAAGCTTCATTATTAATTTTTTTTATTTATGTATATTATTATTAATATAATTTAAATTTATTTAATTTTTATCGATTCTCATTTCTTATTCGTCACACGAATAAATTATTATTTTATATTGTTTTTTTTTTTTTTTTTTTTTTTTTACCCCCCCGAGTAATAGTATTATTATTATTTTAAATTACGTTTTTAAAAAAAAATCTGAAGACTTCTGCAAGTAAAAAAAAAATTTATAACGGTTTTATTCGCAACAAATAATTTTATTTTATTATATATTATATGTAAAAAAAAATTTAAATATATATATATAATATATTTTTAGTCACATCCATACAATAACTGTCTTAATTTTTTTTTCATTTCCGTTTGTACTTCGTTATTTAAAAAGCAAAAAAATAAAGCTACGAAAAAACCCTGTGAAAAAATAAAAAAGAAAATGGTATGAAAATTTTATTATTATTATTATTATTATTATTAAATAAATAATATTGACAAAGTGATACGAACGTAGGTTTAAAAAAACGTAGGAAAAAAAAATCTTATTGATTTTAAATACGATTATTACAATAAGATACCACTTAATTACTTAAAATAATTAAAATTTAAAACTCAAATATATAATTTTCCTCTCCTCCTCCCCCTCCCCAATTTATTTTATAATTAGAATATCGATTCGATTTATAATTAAAATTTTGTGTTACCTGAAACGATGCAAAAAGTTGATCGCAAAATAACCAAATCAATTCAATCGTTTCATTAATTCCAACACAATAAGACATTCCTAAAAATATTGTATAATGAACACCGAATAAAGGTGCTAAAACAATCGTGGATTTAGCTAATCTCCTACCAGAAAAAAAAAAAAATTTTAATAAATTTATTTATTTATTTATTTAATTGTAAAAAATAAAAATTTTCTCTTACCAATATTTTTGCGTTTCTTCTTGAACAGCTGATTTAACTTTAAGTAATAACAAACGTATTATATTTAAAAACAAACCGAAATTCACCTTAAAAAAAAAAATTCCAATTTATTTTTTATTTAAAATATTATATTGAATTTCTTATATTAAATAGAATTATACCAAAACTGATATTATTATTGGAATTCGAATGATGAGAAAATTTCTCGATATTAAATTAGTCGTCCAACACAAATCATTTTCCAAATTAATTCTAACCAATGCCCATGAAATAACAAATATTATAGGTAAACCTAAAATCCATAAAACATAATTAAATATTATTTTAAAAAAAAATAATAATGGTTTTATTGATCGATGAGAATTTTATTTACCCCATCCTAATATTATGTACATAAAAATATTAGCATTGTCAGAAAATAAAGCAAACATTAAAAGATTATGCATGTATAACCCTTCCATTAATATCCATGAATAATTTGCCATAATAAAGTATTGCCAAATTGTGGTTAAACTTTTACATTCCCAATTGCTCTTAAAAAAAAAAATTTGCTACAATTAATATAATAATAATCTATAATTAATAATATAATAATAAAATTAATAATATAATAATAATAATAATCTTAAAAAGAAAAATTTCGACTTCCTTACACGTTAAAAATATTCACAATTATTAGGTAAATTAAAATTTTAGTGGTTTTTTATTAAATTCCTTACGTTTATTTCATCTAAGAAGTACTTGGTACCATTTTGTTCGACAAAATTTGATCTTAAACCGATTCCTTGTTCGAAAAGAAATTCTTTTAAGAACGTAACAAATGCTCTCATAATGAATGAAACAAATAAATGAAGGTGAAGAGTATTTCGAGAACAATAAAGTTTTCTGAAAACCATCAATGATTCTGTTACAAATATAAATAATTCTTTTAATCCAATATTTACAACACTTACCTACGGTTGAAAGCTTTTTGTGAAAACCTGTCGTAAAATTATTATTTATTTATTTATTTTTATAAAAATATACTTACCTGAAGGATAATAAAATAAGTGAAGCCATCACTAGGGAAATCAATGATATGCCGTATCCGATGTGTGAAATCCCCTTCAATATCGGTAAATACTCCTGGAAATAATAATAATAATAATAATAATTAAAAATTAAATTGGTAAAATTCTTGTTAATTATTATTGATTTTTTGTTTTACCTTTAAAAGAAAACTATCTATAGATGAAACTTGTACAAAAATTGTCGTTTTGTGATCAATAAAACATTGATTATAATTTGTCCATTCTTGATTCGTTTTTGGACTAACGTACCAAGTTCCATTTTCAGTGCATAATTTAGTAGCGTTCGACTAAAAAGAAAAAAGAAAAAAAAATTAATTAATAATAAATTTAATGAAAATAATAATTATTTAAAATATTTCCCAACAAAATGTCAAATACATATATAAAAATGCGGGAACCAGCAGAATACATTTAACTCTTTTTTAATAGTTGATTTTTTTTCAGTATCGAACAATATTTGATTGTGGTCGAAAATAATAATAATAATAATAAATAAACATACCGTTTGATCGAAGCCTGCTATGTAAGAAGGGCATTGTTGTGTTAAAATCTGATTTGGATATGCCCAAGACCAACACATAATTCCATCCCAAATAGTTTTACACGTTCCTTTTTCATTATCATTTTGTGCTAATTTTTCACATTTGAGTTTTTCCAACTGGAGAACTGCTTCCAGTTCTTCGGCAGATAAAGCAATACCCTTCATTATATTTGTTACTCAACACATATTTTTACAC